GCTGCTTTGAAGAGGCAGGAGAAATTAGGAAAGAAAAAAAAAAATCTGATCAACCAGATCAGATTCAGGAAGAGAAGGAGGTGGTGCCGCCCCTTGGCTGGAGGTTTTAGGAGGAGGTAGGACAAACATCCGGGACCACCACATCCACCTTGGTGCTGGCGCTGTCCTGAGGGATTCTCAAGTCCCCTCCAAGCTCAGGATGAATGGGTTGACCCATAACTCTGTTTATCCCACCTTTGGTATACCTGTCTCGCAGCAGGCAGGTTGAGATCAATCGGGTTTCATCACCCTTTTTCTGATGGGCTGGTCTTACTGGGACCTTGCAGTCAGGGCACTGGTTAGGCTCCTGTGAAGAGATGCTTGGAAGCCTGGCTGGAGCATCCTTGTTGGGATCCCTCCTTGGGTCCCACCGCTGCAGCATCCATGCCCAGAGGGTGTTGGGAATGGGACAAAGGGACAGCGTGGGGCTGGTGGGTCCTGCCTCAAGCCAGCGGGAAGGAGACAGTGAAGCCAGCAGTAGAGGATCTTCAGAAGCTGTGGTGTGCTTGGCAGGGCTGGCAGCAAGCTGGACTTGGGGATGATCCCATGGGGGACATCCTCCATGAGCCATCCCAGACCATTGCCAGGGATCAGAGAAGCACAGGCAGCCCTGTTATGGAAAAACAGAACATCTGGCTGTGGTTTGGCCATGGATTTCTTCCTTCCGACAGAGTCACAGAGGTGACCTTGTGTGCCACGGTGTGCTACAAGAGGGATGGGCATGGGCTGGTGGAGTGGCTCCCGCCTGCCCTCCATTGCCACGTGCCAGGGATGAGGCACCACGAGCTGGAATAAGCCCAAAATTTAACTCTAATATTGTGCTGATGAGCTTTCTTAATTGGCTTTCAGAAACCTCCCAGGAAGAACACCCAGCAGCCGCTGCGGTGATGAGTGAAGAGCATCACAGAACTGGTCAGCAGTATCGAGGGCCAAAGCAGTCCACCGCGGCAGGGTGAGGTTAGCCATCACGAAGGGCACAGTTGAGAAAATCCAGAATTTGGTTGAAAAACACTTCTGTACTTTTCAAGCCACAGGGGAATCGTTTTGCTCACCCTTTGCTAGGACACAAGTGAAAAAAAATCTACTATATGGAATTTCGGAAGCTTTCAGGTCATCAGTCCTTAAGACTCGGGGATAGTGCAAGGCAACTATCATGGCTGGGTAACTGAATTAATAACTGGGTTTTTTACCAGTTATTTATTACACCTGTTAATTAATTACACCTGTACAGGGGCTGAGCATGAGCAAGACATAACTCTTAAGTTTTTAATTCTGGGAATGATGGACAGACTGTCAGTAGCGATGTACCAATCACACCTTCCCAACAGGCAGGCTGAGAGATTTGCTAAGGTGATCCTTGAAGGTATGGATGTCTAGGACGATGGTGATCGAGCGAAGGCCAGATGCCAGAGATGGATACCCAAGCAAGCCCTGAGGAGCCGTATCCATCATAGTGAGGCAGGAAAAAGAAAGGATCTGCTTCTCCTGGCTCTGAAATCAGCTCCGTTGGGGTGGAGTACCTGCCTTTCATACGATTGATTTGCTGGAACTGAAATGTGAACAATGAAATAAATTACTTGAACACAAATTAAGGAGGTACTACAGCAAGTGTGACTTTTAGGAACTCATGAGGTTCAGCGGAGAGCTGAGAGCTGCTGCGCTGCTTGTGCAAAGGGTGCCAGGAGTCACAGCCCTGTGCTCTCCCTTCCGTCTCTATTCCCCGTGCTGGACCCAGGTGCTCTGAAGACCCAGTTTCAAGTTAATTTGTGCTTGTAAGCCACCTTACGAGCCGATTTTAACAATGTTTTCCTGAATATACTAAAACCACGACTACTCCTGACAGTATCAACCCTTGCGTGCTGATGCTCAGCACCTCCCAGTTGTTGTTTTGTTTTTTTTTTTTTTTTTTTTTTTTTTAATTTGTCCTACTCCTGACGGGAAAGCGGGTCAGCAAAGGGCATGGCCTCTCGCATCCACCCCAGCAGATGTTGCTTTTGCAGCCGCCGCAGCAGAGGATGCTTCCCTCCCGCCGGTGGGATTTCTGCTGAACTTTGGGGTACGCTTTCCCTCCCTCCCTCGCGACAAGTTCCTGCGTTACACGCTGGCAGAGTGTCAGGACACCCAGCAGTGATTCAGAGGCGGTTTAGGAGTGCGTCGCATACCACAGCAATCCGTCATTCCCGCGCAACAGGGCAACATGACACACGCCGGGGAGCATCTGACCAGGGGCTCTTTCTGGACTGAGCAGCGGTTGGGAGTGATTCAGCAGCAGGAAACACCCAGACAAAAGGCTCTCCCTACTCCAAGGCTATGGCAGCACCGGGGCCACCGCCTTCCCAAACCCTCGAAACAGTTTTAAAATGGATTTTAGGCTGCACCTCAGCATGCTGCCTCCCACCAACACAACACCCCTTTTGCCTTCTGTACCCTCTGCAAGGGAAAAGCTTGCTTTCTCTCGGCCCAGAACACGGCTCCACGCCTTACCAGAAGTAACAGGTATCATGGCATGGGGAAGGAGTGGGAGGATGCTCTTTTGGCAGCAGCAAGCCATCAGATGAACTCAGCTGCCAGGAACTGCACCACGAGTTGCAAAATCCTGATTTCACTAAAACATAAGGAGACGCTTACCAAAGGACGCACGTTCTTGACTCGGCGTTTGTCAACCCCGGCTGAGTAAGTCAAGGCAAGCGTAAGACCATGACTAAGAAAAACGCCGTCAAAAGAGCGAAGAGACTGCCAGCTCTGCAAAGGAGAAAGGTCAGCTCCAGCCAGCGGGACCTTCCCAAGGGAACGCTCCTGCACCCGTCCGTAAGGTGAACTGCGGCACCACAGCCCTGAAACGTTTGCACCACGCGGGGACCCGCCACAGGGATTTGGGATGCTCTCGGCACAGGAGCTCCAGCAGAATGTGTAAAATGGGAGTACCAGCTCAGCCCTGCCCGGGATCTTACTGCTGATCATTAAAAATAATCACTGCTGAAATCTTGTTGTCCATTCTGGACAATAAAAACAGGTATTTAAAAAAAATATCCAGGTGTTTGTAAAAATCTTCCTAGGGCACCTGGTGCACTGCTCGAGCCCTACCTGCTGCAGCTGCCCGATTTCCTCAGTCTCTTGCCTCATACGATTGCACATCATTTGTCAAACTGCTTCTGAAAAGGGGAAAGCAAGCCGTTTTCTTCCCTACATCTGTACAGTGTGATTTTTTTTTGAGTCCAGAAATGAGCACACCACTATTTCTACACAAAAAGAAAAGTATCTCACCATAAACCAACATGGAAAGTTCAATGTATGTCCTCCAACACACGATTAAAATTATACAGATCTAAATGCATAGAGTTACTATGCGGTATAACAGAGACGCTATGGAGTGTTTGCCCGATATCTTTTAAATCCAATAGATAACTTAATAGCTGGAAACCAAAATGAGTGAGTCAGGGATGATTTTAGAAGTGAGAAATGGACTTCAGCAGAACTGAATGAGGAACCTGAAGTGAAATTTAGCCTTCATGGGACAGCAAATCCCTGGTTGTTCCTGGAACAAATGGGATGGAGCTCAGCATGCAAGCACTTGCGCCAGGGTTACCACTGGGTTTTCGTTAGGCCAACATGACTATTACTGTAGTCCCTCCCCACATAAGAATTTGGGGGTAAAACATGCTTACTACTGAAATCCCAACCTGTGATGGCTTCAGTGGCACTTCCTGCACCCGAGTGCCATCAGAGCAGCTCGTACAGCTGTGTTTTAAATTCTCTAATGACAGGAAGACTGCAGAGGCAGGCTCCTGGTCATTCATCCTCCCCTGCGAGCTCTCAGAAGGCACTGTACAAAAACCTTCAGCTCAGTAGTACTCGAGAAGCAACCCAGACAGGTGGGAGACAGTGCTCAAAGAGAAATCAGTATTACGTTACCACATAAACCCATGGCTCCTCCACCTGTGGAATACTGTGTACTATCCTGGCCCTTCCCTCTGCCCCGCGCCGAAAGAACAGGCCAAGTTACTGAAAAGTTCCATACAAAGATCTAGTTCAAGCTGGACACCATGGTAAGACAAGAGATGGAAGCCACCAATTGGAAGTGGCACAGAAACACACAGAGAGCAGCCATCTGTTCCATTCCCATACAGAAACAGGGAAAATCATCAAATAAAGATCAAGAGGCTGCAGGTCCACAGGGTCCTGTAACTGCTCTTAGTCCACAGAAAAAGTGTGGACATTGCCATACAGGAAAAAAAAAACCCAAACAGTAGAGGAACTTCAAAAGTCGAGTGAACAGCAGCCTACCATCTCACTGCTCTTGTTTTCTAGGTCCTCCATGCGCGGTCAGCCACTGCAGCTATGGCACAAGGCTGAGGGAAGTTCTAGTCTGACAAAAGTGCTTTTGAATCTTGCACAGAATTTTCCTGTAAATATAGGGAGTCCATGAATCCAAGCAGGCAAAACAGTACTGTACTGGCAAGAAAGCATCACTTGAGAGTTCTATTGCATTTTAACCACATTTGTGGATAAAAAGTACTCTTTAAAAGGACAATCATCAGTGAAGCAGTAAGAAAAAAAATCAAAGTAATCTAAATATTTCCCTGCCTTCTCTAAGCAGATAGTTACCTATGTCCACTCAAGCCCCCTCCTTAAAGGTCTGCATGTTACAGACTGCCAACAGCTCACCCACCTCAAAGCTCAACAGCGTTACCAAGAGTTTCTGACAAGCCTTGCTCCAGGCGTACAGCACTGCTGAATGGCCCTTCTTGCTCCTGCAGCTGGACAATTCACACAGGGACCTCTCTACACGCTGGGTTTACATACCTGAAGGTGTTACATTTAGAGAACTAGAAGCAACACAAAGTTAGGGTGGATTTTACTTTTGGGCTTTAGATGTTATTCCGGAATACATAGCATAAGTGTTGTAGTCTCTTTTTAACCCGTAACTTATACCTGGCAAAATTAAGTAGGAAAAGAAAAACCAAACTTCTTTTTATTTTATTTTTCACTTTTTGAAAGCATTTTTACACAGGTTTTGATCTTCAGAATACCTTGGAATCAGTAGAAAAAACTAACTGAACAGTTTGTCTTTACAATAGAAACCTTTCAGGAGTCAAAATTGAGACTAAAAAAATACATGCAAAACATACTCCTTTCAAAACACAACTTGAAACAAAGCACCAAACTACACAAATATGCAGAACGAAACAGCATTTAACATCACAGAAGTAGTCTTCATAAAAGGTGTAAAAGTCACCTATTCACTAGGCACTGTTCACTTGTTTAAACAGAAGAGACAATAAAAATATTGTCCACAAACTTGCAATTTCAACTCAAAGGCTGTAGCTAGAAATTCTTCTACGTGTCATGCTTTAATAGCGACCTGAAAGAAACAAAATATACACGCTGTTAAGACTTCCAGGATTGACAGATTTTTAAGAGTTCTGTCTAAATTCACTGCCACCCCTCAAATCTGCATCAAATTCAAGAGCCTTGTGGTTTGCCTATGGCAAAGTCCAGCAGTCGGTACAGTTCTGCCAGGAAGTTCCTTTGTGCAGAAAAACCCCAATTCCCGTCCCACGACAGGGCTGATGTTGCAGCGCACAATGAGAACTCGCACCGTAACTGTTCTGTGGCGGCCAGTTGCCCTACGTATCGGTAAAAGCAGTTACACTTGTTTTCATTTGGACACAAAAGGTAAAGAAGAGAACACAACCGCTTCATTCACTCTGTCCATTACAAAGGGAGTATGCTAGGAATGCTGTTGTGTTCTAACAACTTTCTGCAGCTTTATCTTCCATGCAGATAAGCAATTCAGGAAAAAAAAGTGCACTGTTTGGATCTCAGAGGAAGCTGACCTCCTCTTTTAACAAGTTCTGTTGGGAAATGTAGTTTCAGTGGCTTGGGAATTCGGCCTCACCTGGAAGTAACCAAACTGTCAGCATACTACAAACTCCCGTTTTGACAGAGTTTTGGAGAAAGAAAACAGTACCTTAAAATTTTTAACAAGTGGTATTACCAAGTTTATTTTTTTGCAGACTAAGTATTTGCTCTGTCCTCAAGGTTGCCAGTTGCTCAATGAAACATTAAAGGCAACTGCAGTTCAAAAATAACCTCACCAAAGTCGAATAGTCTTTATGGATGCAAAGCCTCAAAAGAAGTAGTGGAAAAAAGAGGAAATTTGCTTTTGATATGCGAGCTCTACGACTACTTACGAGGTGAATAGGATCGAGATCTGGATCGCGATCTGTAGCCCCCTCGGCTGTAATATGGGGATGGTGATCTCCTCCTGCGAAAGAGGGCAAAAGAAACAACCCCTTCGTTAAAGCCTGTGGCAGATGAGTGGCAGCAGCTTTATGTGGATGCCTCTAACCCAATCCTGCTATCAAGAGTGTAATTGGAAAGCTAATGAACACATAAATAGCTGATCAACATTCCTGC